GGGGCACCTGGGTGCCGGCCCCTCCCCCCGGGCCCCTGGGGGTGGGGACCCGGGGGGCTGCGGGCGGGGGGTGTGAAAAGTTTCTCCGGGGCCAAACTTGCACTTTTCGCGGGGGTTGCGAGGGGGAAGGGGGCGCCGTGCACGCCTGTGGGTGCTCGGGCGGCGCGTTCCTGCCCCGCTCCCCGGAGCTCCCTGCACGGAGCGCTGGCGAGGCGCGGGGGTGCTGCGGGGGCGCCTCCGGGACGCCCCTGGTCTGTTCTTGACTTCGGTTCCCTCGCTCCGCGTCGCGAGCTTGTCTGCTGCCCTCGCGGCGCCCGGCCTGGCTCCTGCGCTTTCGGGGTTCCCTGGAGAGAGGAGGGGTCGGGACCGGGCCCCTTTGGGGGGGGCCCGCAGGTGGTGAGGCTGCAGGGAGTGCATCTGCGGGTGGAGGCAGGGGCTTCCGAAGGGAGTGGCCGCTTTCGGGGTTCCCTGCGCTTTCGGGGTTCCCTGGAGAGAGGAGGGGTCAGGACCGGGTCCCTTTGGGGGGCCCGCAGGTGGTGCGGCTGCAGGGAGTGCGGCTGCGGGTGGAGGCAGGGGCTTCCGAAGGGAGGGCCGGGAGCTCCAGGTTGGGGGGCTGGTGGGGGCGCGATCCACGTGGGGCGTCCTGGTTGAAGTCGTGCAGAAAGCGCGGTGGCCCCGGCCTGGCAGTCGCCCGGGTCTTTTCGGGGGCGTCTCTCGCTCCCGTTGGAGGGTCCACTTGGGGTCCTAGGGGCCCGCGACCGGAGCTTGCAGGCTCGTGGGGTTCGGGTGGGAGGGAGCCGTGGGCTTTGGGGGGAGTCGCCGAGCAGCGGGGGTGGGGGGGTGACGGGCGTGTGCGGCTGGTTTCTGGTTTTCGCCTTTGTGGTCCCCGGGACTGTGTGACCGGTGGGGGGGCGGCTTCTTCCGACCTCCCTGTGCGCGTTTTCTCTTCTCAGAAGCTTCGCCGTGAGGATCACGTTTGCTTCAAGTTTTCACTGGTTTTCTTTCCTTCTTTTTTTTTAATGGTTAAAGAGTCCTCGGGGTCAACCTGGGAACTAGGAAAGGTCTCAGGGCCCTGGTGCCTGCCTGGAAGGGGGGTGCCCTCCTCGGTCACCGAGATCTGGGGGGGCCAGGAGGGGTTTCTGACTTACGTTTGGCCCGTAGACACGCTGCAGGCTTTTTCCTGAGTAAATGAACGGACACACGGATACGCCTAAGGAATGGGTGGGGATGCTGAGGGCGAGAGGATGGGCGGCTCTTCCAGGACCAAGGAGCTGGGTGCCGGAAAGGCCGAGAGCGGAGGAAATGTTTGACAGCAGCTGGGGGCTGGAGTGCCAGGGGGGGCGCCTCGAACAGCAGGGACTCGCCCAGTTCCTGCGTCTCCACGTGCGCGTGTAAACATGCGCGTCTCCGTGGCGTTCCTCACCCTGGTGCAGGCTGCCTTCTGGACTCGGTTTTCCTGTGTCCTGAGCGAGCCTCTGGTGTTGCCCACACGTTAGGCTGCACCGTGCAGTAAGTGACGGTGATGTGTGGCTTGGATTACTTACCCTCAGAGGAGACGTGGAACTAAAGGCTAGGAAATTGGGTTTGGGCTGATGACACTGGTGGACTCGGATGGATGCAGACCCTGGGGGTGTGGATGGGAGGGTGTAGGAGGCTGGGACTGGTTGCTGATGTTGGGCAGTAAAGAGCTTGGCCCCCAGCTCTTGAAGGTGATGACGATGTTTCATCACAGGTAGGATTCCTTGGGCTTGTACATCATTGCCTTCCTGTGAGGGCGGTCATCAGAACGACACCTCGAAGCTCATTGTGGTGTTGCTGCAAGCATGTCGCTTAGGAGACATGGGGCCAGTTCTTGTCGTTTGGCACCTGGTCCTGGTGATAGCGTGCTGCGAGCCCGTGTCCCCCACTCTCCGTGGGTCCTCAGTGCGTTACTGATGAGCTTCCCCATCGGCAAAGACCAGAACCGAACCTGAGCCACGTCCTAAAAATGCAGGCGCCTTGGGGTGTGAATGTGTGCTTTCCTCCGTCTGGCTTTTGGTCATTGCCTGCCTTTGCGTTCCTTTGGCCCAAATGACAGGGCCACTTAGGTGCTTCATGCTCCGTGTCTTCCTTGGCCGTGTTAGATCCATTGTGGGAGAGCAAACGGTCGAAGCGCACAGAACCGAGTTCGAGTTGAGTAAACTCTTGCTGTCACTGTTTCAGGACGGGAAAGGAAGGCCAGCCCCGGGAGTACTACACCTTGGATTCCATCTTGTTCCTCCTCAATAATGTGCACCTTTCTCATCCTGTGTATGTCCGACGCGCAGCCGTGAGTAGAATTCGTTTTAAAACGTTTTTATTTAATTGGTGGCTGTCATTAGGCATGGGTTTCAGATCCAAAGGACGAAAGGCTCCTAGCGTGTCCTAATGACAACATTGTGATTGATGTTGATTTTTTTACATGTAAAGTGGGGGTGGTGGTTACGACAACAGAAGTTTTGAGGTTATTTGTAGGGATTTTTTAAAAAACTTAACTTGTCTGTGGAAGAGCCCTGGTATACTCTAATCTTTAGAAAACGTTTTTGACAACAGAAAATTAAAAATAACAGACAACTTTTAAAATGAATGTTTAATCAAACTTTCACACTTACTGATAAATTAATTTGTTTTCAGTTTTGCCTGATTTCTGCATTTCAGTGTTTGAACACTGCTTTTCTGAACAAGAAATACATACCTAGTGTCAATTTCTTTTAAAAATATATTTTTATTAATTTCAGAGAGGAAGCAAGAGGGAGAGAGAGATAGAAACATCAATGATGAGAGAGAATCAATGATTGGCTACCTCCTGCACGCCCCCTACTGGGGATCGAGCCCACAACCCGGGCATGTACCCTTGACTGGAATCGAACCCGGGATCCTTCAGTCCGCAGCCGACGCTCTATCCACTGAGCCACACCAGCTAGGGCATGACATTTATCTTTACCAAGTTTGTTATCATAGTTACTGATTTGATTTCTAACTTAAACTTTTGATTTCAGACTGAAAACATTCCTGTGGTTAGAAGACCCGACCGAAAAGATCTGCTTGGCTATCTCAATGGGGAAGCATGTGAGTCCTTTTTACATTGCGGTCACTCTTAGGCAGACAGGTGACCTCAAACCTGACCTACCTGCACTGAGTGCATCGGCTCCCTTTCCCTCCCGGAGAGTGAGTGCGTGGTCCCGGCTCCTGAGGCCAGGCATCCCTGGGAACGGGCTCCATCACCTCTGGCACTCTCACAGGCTCTGCCTTTGAAAATCCTTTTTTAAAAATTCTCCCTTTATTTATTTATTTTTCTTTGTTAATCCTCAGCCAAAGACATTTTTCCATTGATTCTTAGAGAGAGTGGAAGGGAGGAGGAGAGACAGAGAGAGACATCCATGTGAAGGAGACACATCGATTGGTTGCCTCCTGCACACGCTCCAGCCGGGCTGGGGATTGAGCCTGCAACTGAGGTTCGTGCCCTTGACTGGAATCGAACCCGTGTCCCTTCCGTCAGCGGCTGACGCTATATCCACGGAGCCAAACCGGCCAGGGCTGCCTTTGAAAATTCTTGCTTTCCTCTTGTATCATCAGTTTTCTCTTCTGCATCGTTCCCTTTAGAATACAGGCAGTAAGGGCTCGTGTGAAAATGGATTTGGCCCCTACATTCCTACTATCTGCTGCTCCATTGGTCTTACCCTTTTTGCTGCAGAAACCTTGGCC